AAAAGTTATTTAAAATAATAGAATTGATAATTTTATTATTATAAGTATTGGAGAACTTTCAAGATTAGCATTTAATTGCCGATCTGCATGTGATTGATAGATATTTAATAATAAATTGCGACGTTAAAATTAATTAATAAAAAAAACTCAGTTTGAAATCTTTTTTTCCCAAAAAAATGACAATAACGAACGCTCATATAACACCAAAAAAACTTGTTACAACTGGTAATATTATACCAGAACTTCATTATGATCCATATTTACGTGATTGGTGGATTTTTTTTAAAGAAGAGACTCAAGAAAGTACATTTTATCCAATTCCTATACGTTTAGGACTTGAAATTATTATACAGCTTAATAAAGCTCTTTTTATTATTTGTGTAGTTCGTCATATTCATAGTTTTTTACAACCTGGTTATATTTGTGAAGGAGGAGGACAAAGTAGTGGTGTTGTTGAAAGTGCTTTTAAAGCTATTACTTCTACTTATCAGTTAGTTTTTGGTAGTAAAACAAAATATGCGGGACTTTCTTATTTAGGATTAAACCAACCTGAAACAGCTCAAAAACTTTTAGAAGGAGTTACATTTCACCTTTTTATTGTTGAATTAGAAAATATATCTGTTTTTGTTGGGTGTCTTGGTAAAATAATCCGGTCAAATGAGGATAAAATTAGTCATGGTTATACAACATCATTATTTTATAAATACAAAAAAAACAATCAGTTTTTTTTCAACGTATTGATAAGATTTATTTTCAATTATAATTTATCAAAATAGTCAAATAATTGCTGAATATAAAGATATTTCTCCTAATGCTGTTTGGTGTCAAACTGGAAGCCTAAAATCTATTTTGGGTGATACTTTATTTGTTACAAATCATCCTATAACTTTATAAAAATTAGATCAAACACGACAAAAAATTTTTTCACAAGTATCTATATCTAATAAATGTACAATTGCAGATTGGAATAATAAAGTAATTATAGAACATTTATTTAAAATACATTTGAAAAAAGTGATTAGTGGATCAGTTGAAGAATGGTATCAAGTTTTTCAAAGTTGGATATAACAAAAAAGCAATATAATTGAATTATATACTCATCTTAGTAAAGTATATGGTTCAAACCATGAATTTTAAGAACGTGAATTGCGAGCATGACTTGCAGTATTTCTTGCTACAGGATGTACAAATATTACATCATATAATAAAAAAATTTCTAAGGTAATTAAAAAAATATATATATATGCTATGCAAATAATAAATTAGTAACTAATAAAAAATCAATATATTATAGGTTGAGTTTTGGACAAATGCATCTGATCCTGAAAGAGATTGTGAAACACTTACCATTTTATATATGGAAGGTTTTTTAAATGTATCTTCATCTGATATAAATGTATTTTGGGATTGTTTTCGTGACAGTTATGATATGAATCCTAAAGGAATGAAGGGTAAAGTACGCATATTATCAATAATTGCAAAAAAATTTACATATGAAGAAATCATCAATGAATTAAAGGTAATAAATTTGCATACTTTTCAAATAATAGTATAATAAATATATTAACTTATTTTAATATAATTTAGATTTCTCCTAATACAATCAATGCAGCATGAAAGTTTTCTCGAATCAATAGACCTGGATATCCTGTATTTGAAAAACTATTTATTTCTCGTTCAAAAATGCCTAAAGTTAAAGAAAAAGAATTTGAACTTTTTTTTGCAGATAAAGCAAATATAAACATGAGTTCTTATAAAGTAGATGCAAAAACACAATTACCAGTACTTTATTTAAAGAATCAAAAAAGTGCTTTATGGAAAAAATTTTCTGCTACATATCCTGATGGAATGAAACGCACTTCTTTTATGACTCGTTTACAAAATAGTCGTTTTAAATATCAAGAAGATTTAAGAGGATTGTGTTTAACATGTAACGATTATGGATATCAGCCTTTTGAAGATTTGATTAATTTAATTACTACAAATTTTTCTAATAAAGTTCAAAAGGTTAGTATTAAATATAAAAAAAACCATTATAAATCATTACTTAATTATATTATTATAATATTCTTTTTTTATAGGATCGTTTAATTCATGAATTAGAAATTTTACACTGCCATCTAAAACGAAATTATGAAAAAGAATTAGTTATAAATGAGGATGGTACAACCAATCATGTGGATTGTATTAATCATTACCTGCTATTTGTATTTGGAGAGTGTATACAACAACATTTTTCACAATGTCAAGAATGTGATAAAATGTTTGATATGTTTAAAATTCTTATAAACCAACTTGATGCTACTTATCATCCTAAAATTATAGAATATCAAGAACAATTGACATGTTATTTAGTACATCAAATGCGTAAAGTATATCTAAATGCTCAATTCAATGCTATTTTACGTGAACTAGATGATTATGGAGCTATTATTATAGTTGATTATAAAATGCGAATTTTACCAGCAACAGCTCAAGAAACAAAAAGTGAATTTTTTGAAAAGCGCGGATGGACCTTACATACAACTCTAATATTTCAAAAAGACAAAAATAATCCTGAAAAATTTGATATTCAAGCTCACAATCATTGGAGTTCTGATACCAAACAGGATGCTTGGTTTACAGCATCTTGTTTTGAAGCAGTATTTATGACAATAAATTCTAAACCTCGTTAGATTAAAATAATTTCAGATAATGGAGGGCACTATCATAATTCAGAATTAATGATGATTATTAGTCACTGATATGATTGGTATAATATAGAAGTACGTGGATGGATATTTCTTGAGTCAGAAGAAGCTAAAATAACTATCGATTCCCATCATGCAACTGTAAGCAAATTTTTATTATATTTTGATTTTGATTTTTATTCATATTTTATTTTTTTTATTAAAGTTAATTAAATATAGGTTGCATATGCGATCAAAAGGTATATTAGAATTGGATATAATCTTATTGATGGAACAAATATTGAAACGTCACTTCAAAGTTTGAGTGGAACATCCATAGCACATATAGAACCAAATCGGAATATAGAAATACTAGTAGATCAAGATAATATAGAAACAAATTCAGGGTAAGTACAATATTTGCATTAATAATAAATTTTTTTTTTTATCATATTTATTAATTCAAAATGGAAAAAAAAATTCTTTTTATTATATTTATTTGCGTTTTTAATAATTAGCATTTTTATTTTATTTTTTGTTAGATATACTAAAAAAATTTTTAATATACTTTATAAAAAAATACTTTTTTTTATTTCAATAATAATAAAAATTGAAAAAAATAAAATAAGTCTACATATAATTTATTAAAAAATTCTTATATTTTACTAATTATTTACATGTATTTTATTAACAGAAATAATAAAAAATCAATAAATATATATGAAAAAAAATCCAAAACTATACCCGGCATCTCAAAATAGTTTGAATAGATTTGGCCTGTAACGGATCAATTTGCAGGATATATTCGTGAACACTTTCTTTCCCATATTGGCATGTGGACAGATTTCTCATCTGCACAGATTGCTAATTTTTGTAATACGATTCACAGACTATCTTCAATAGTTTCTGAGTCAACCAAATCCGATTCTCCTTAGATAATGCCAACTCCTAAAAAAAAGATTATAACAATTATTATTTTCTTGTTACTTATACTTGAATATTTTAACAAATTAATTTATTACCTGTAATTAATCATCTTATTATAAAGATCCAGAATTATCTATAGATGAGAACAATAGATCAGGTAATAATTGTATTGTAATAGTTATTTTTTTTTAAAAAAAAATTACTAATCTCTATAGATTTGATTGTGAATTTATTTAGTTAACAATGATGAAGCAGTCGAAGTATCAAATACAATAAGAGGTAATTATAAACATACCTTTTTTTTTAATTTCACAAGTTCCACATTAATATTATGTCTACATATTATAAAACTATGGGGTAATTATTTTATTTGGATTTGTAAATCTATAAAGAAATACTAAACAGCAAACTCTTAGTATTGACTAAGATTTTTCTTTCAATAAAGGATGGGCCTTGAAAGAAAATATAAAACTTAGTAATAAGGGTGGAGGAAAATGCATAACAAAAAAAGTTGTTTAGTATTTACAAGGTTTTTTTTTGACTGGAAATTTGAGAATCGCGGATTGCTATTCACCCGAAAGTATGCATGCCTGTTTAGAAGAATTGGCAGCAGAAGGAGAACTCATCTTAGAAGAAATACCAACGGTAAAAACTATCAAAGGTGGATAGGAAGATATAATGCTAATTTCAAAAAAGAAGCATCAGAAAAAGCACTGGTAGAAAATATGGAAAACTATCAAAGTGCAACAGTTGCTAAAGGTAGTATTAGTCAAAAGAGGCCTAAAAAACACCAAAAGAATGGTTAAAAACTTGTATTAGATATTTTGTTAAAATCGAAATTGGCAGACCATATCAATAAAGCTATTATGAAATCTTCCTTTCCCCTATATAAAACTTCTTAAGCTGCATTAAAATAAATAGTTTTTTTAATGAATTTCCTTTTTAAAGATTCTTTGACGTACATTATAATTGTAAATTACACAATTGTATAATAAATAATCATTGTTATATTGTAATACAAATGACAATCATCATTGTTATATAAGAAAACTGCGTCACATTTTACTATGGAAATTCTATCGATCATGTGCATATCAGCAATTAATTTATTTAAAATAGAATTTTTGTATTATCTACTAGGTATAATACTAATGTGAAACTTTGCAGAACTTGAATAAAGCATAGTATACTAAAAATGTCAACAGATTATCCTTTAATAATAATTTTTATATAAGTATAAATGTGAGTACTATCTGCTAAAAGTGATAAAATTTTTTGTGTAAAATTTCACTAATATAATTTTTTACTAATACTTTAATAATACTTAACACATTAATATCATTTAAAAATGAATGTAATATTATTTTTACTATATGGGAGTGTTTCTAGGAAAATCAGGTTCTGAGAAATTTTTGACTAAAATTAAGAGCTTAATACATTTTAATCTAATTACATCAAAAACTAAAATGCAATAAAAATCTCAATTTTGCTAAAAAATTCCCGGATCCTGATTTTCCTAGCAATCTACCCATATATGTTAATTTATTAATTAAAGTTTATAATAATGATTTATATTATAGGTAATGTGTTATATTTATGATTTAACTGATATTATATATCCCAATTTATCATATAATTTTTTTATTTTGATAATTTTATAATATCTGATTAATTATCTTGATTTATAATTCTTTAGTAAAAAATAATAAAAAATATATCATTGATTTTAAAATATTCAAAGATAAAATTATATTATAAAATAAGTAATATGAAATAATAATGATTTTTTTTTAAAAAAAAATATTTATATTTTTTTAAAATCAGTTATATTATGATTTGGTTTATTAATAAATTTTTCTTTAAAGTTTTTAATTGATTTTATAAAACATTAAAATATTAACTAAAAGATCTAAATATTAGTTTTGACATATATTTTAATATTTAATTTTTTTTTAAATATTAAAAATAAAATTTTTCAATTTTAAAAATCAAGTTACTATTTATTTTTTTATTTTAATTTAAAATTAAATAAAAATTTTATTATATTATTTT